AGTGCTATTCTATGCTATTTAGAGCTGGAAGGCCTTGGTTACTTTTAATTACAATGGGTAATGAGCAAAGAATCTAGACTGTGAGACATGGAGTATTTTAGGATCTTGATCTTGGTTATCTAACACAACACTGCGGTCTCCGATGTAACTTTGTTAGAAGACTTTTGTATCATCACCATGATTAAAATCACTGTGGATGGAAATTTTTAAGCACTTTGCTGTCAGACCCCTTCAAGATCAGAATTTTTTGTACTTTTGTTTTAAATTATTGCTACAATTACTTGCAAACTTGTTTCATATACACATTTTTTATTATGAAATTCACACAACAGTGTATTTAATGAGTAGCTTTATATTTCAGAGTTGTTATCTGCCAACGAAGCAATGTTTTTCTGGCAGTGTTTGTCCCATGACTGAATGTGTAGTGGGCAGTGAGTGGAGGACCAAGGACTGGTGACGGGTGTTGAGGGCTTTTCAGAAAAGCTGTTTTAATGAGCCTCAGATATTGAAATGTTATTTCAGAGCTTGGTGTTCACAGTGCTCTCTCATATACTGTGTGACTCAGTGATCTGTTTGTTCTTTTCTCATTTACAAAACAAACATCTAATTCTTTCCTTAATATTGTATTGTAGAACAAACATGACTTATATAATTTAATAAAGCTTCATTGCATGAGATGTGTGTTTTAGGGACTTTTTAATTGGCGAGAAAGAATGTCTGGGTCTATTTGTGGTCTGCTGCAATGCTGGAAATGCCAGCTGTCACACATCAAAGCCCTGCTGGAACAAACTGTTATTTGGAATGTTCTTGCAACTTGTTGAAATACATAATTTACTTTGTAAAACATACATTTTCAAATTAGTCTATAAAGGCGAAGTACCAAAAACTGAAAAGATGTGTTTGAAATGTATGTACAAAATATCATATGTACTGTGAAAAATTATTGAACTAACATTTCACAAACTTGAAAGCATTTTCTTCTAACCCTTCCAGCCTTCTCAGAAAGAAAGGAAAAATCCTCAGCACCTTCAAGAGTTTTGACTGACAGCTGTGGCTGGTCCAGAGAGCCCTGAGCCAAGCCCCATCATGTAACACATGCCCAACATGTCTATGTCCATCTGGGGTCTTACTCTTCAAACTACTGCCTCCATTGCTCTCTGCCAGCAGAGAGACCAAGGCACAAGAGGAGGAACAGGGTGTGAAGATCGGCCTCTTAGGGCTCACAGGAAATCATCCAAAGCCAGCTGGTCTGGCTATGAGGTAAATCAATGATCAGAGTCAGACAAAGGTAGCAGAAAAAAGAGAAAGAGCTACAGACACAAGGAAAAGAGAGGAAAAAAGAAGTCAATACATGCAGGAGGAAAAGGCTGGGACAGCCAGTCCTGTGAACAGATGAGATAGAGGTGTCATGAAGGGTCTTGACTCCCTGCACGTCATGGAAAGGTTATTTCCTGAAATGTGAATGGATATGCCAGTTAATGCTAATCATGATAGGTTTGATTCCGATTTTTATTGTGCATCTAATGCAAGAGTTTATCTTTTGTGTGATCTGTGAAATGCTCTTATGACATTCTACTTCATTACTTATCTACTTCATTATTTTCAGGTCATCTTAAAGAGCTGGTGTAAATCACTACCATAACAGTGGTTTTGCTGGCATCACTATTTTCTTTGCTGGCATCACTTTAGGAAGATGGGAGGAGTGCAAAAGTGCTGCTACAGGAGATGCTGAAGGCAATTTGTTGCCAACTGGCACAGCCCTAAAATCACAAGGAACCACTGCACAGCAAAATCTTTATTGATCCAATACACAGCAGGAGACTGTTGCCTAATTCCTGTTTTTTGTGACTATTGTTACACATTGCCTAATTCACAGGAAAGAGCAAAATAACATGCATGTGAGAGAGTATTTTAGATATCAAAATCTATACAAGTATCACAGAGATATATTATTTAAATGTACTATAAGCTAATGTAACTATGCACAAGTATTAGTATGGGTTGGGACAGGGACTTCATCAAGGCTTGTTTCAGTACTACCTTCCCATAAAAGCACAAAAAGCATAAGTTTAATAAACAGTAGGATACCAAATAACATTTCAAAGTTACCCAGCAAAGGAAAAAAAAACATCATACATTGCCCCATGATGTAAGGTTACAATGTAAAGTTCCATATGTTTGTATGAGAAACAGATGAGAGTACCACATTTAAATAAAGCATCACTGTTGCCGTCTTCATTGTAAATTACCATTTGTCATCACCGTCGTATGTTTCTGTTTTGCTGGTTTCACATGATAGAACGTCATCAACACGCCCACTAGCTCCTTGTGAATACTAAGGATTATACGCTGCTGTATTCTTACAAGGGCTCACTCCAACTCGCCCGGACCTTATGTGGACTTTGTACTAGGGAGCTGGCAGAGTAAAGCCTACTTAAGGTCCAGGTCATGTCTGAAAGGGGCTTGCAAGTGTTTTTTCTTTCATTTTGAATGGACAGGCTTCACAAATTAATTTACACATAAAGTCCAGTTAGCCTCAATGGACATTGCTTATAATGCACAAAGTAACTGTTATATTAATACTGACTTGTTTAAACCAGGTGGGATTTCTGGGCAGTTTAATATTGTTCTTTAGGAGCCTGAGTCTGCATAGTACCAAGACTCAATCAAAAAGCCAGCCCGCATTGCATCATGTGGCTATAAAGCATGCTTTCATTTATTCTGAACTTGTCAATGAATGGCCAAATGCCAGGAGTCTAGCTAAATAAAAAATAATAATAGTTCAAACAATTGTCTTTTAAATTCCACCATTATTGAAATTTGTTGCTATAGGACATAAGAAGAATTTACATTTTGGAACTGTATATATACTGAGGTGTGGTTGGTAATACAGGAGCTGTTTTGTACAGACATTAAAGGCCATTAAGGATAGTTGTGGCTTCTCAACCTAAAGCCCTGAGCAATCAAGAGGAACAAGGAAGACTATAGACATGACCTTTTCTTTTGGGACAGGAAATAACTTGTGATAATGTTAGCACAACACAGTGCAGATCAGGCTGTATGAGACTAATACAAATGAGCTACATAGAGCAGCAGTCATAGGTGACTCTTTGCAAACTAAAAACTGAAATGACTTTTAAAGTAATCAGTAATGAAGTCCTGTGACCTAAATGACACAGTTGTATGACATAGTAGTCATAGATATATAGCAGATGATATATATAGTAGTCATTCAAAAGTCTTTTCTTCTAGATAATGAGTAGCCTAATGTATGAAACTTTGTGCAACTTCTACAACTCCTCTAAGCTCACTTTGAAATAAGCAGGAGTGGAAATTGGATTCAGGTGGCATGGTGTTGCAGCAGTTAACACTGTCACCTCACAGCAAGAAGCTTCCATGTTTGAACAGCATGGCCAACTGGGGCCTTTCTGTGTATGTTGTCCCTGTGCCTGTGTGGGTTTTCTCAGGGTACTTCGGCTTCCTGCCATAGTCCAAATACATGCAGGTTAGGTTGACTGGTGACTCTAAATTGCCCGTAGGTGTGTGAGTGGTTGTCTGTCTGTCTGTGCCAGTCCAGTGATAGACTGGCGACCTGCCCAGGGTGTACCCCACCTCTCACCCACTGTCAGCTGGAATTGGTTCCAGCCCCCCCCACAACCCTCTAAAGGGTAAGCGCTATAATGGAAGGTGGTTGGATTCAGATCTTTCATTTAAGTAAAAGTAGTATTATCCCAATGTGAAAAAAACTTTATAAGTAAAAGTCCTGCATTCAGAATTTTACACAAGTAAAAAATACAGTATGTGAGAAACAGCAAGAAAATGTATCAAAATAAACGCACCCATTGCCGGTGTGCAAAACAGCCCCTGCCAGTGTTACATTTTTATTTTTTCATTATATCATTAAATTATTATTAGTGATGCATCAATGTAAAAACAAGATTTGGTCTACATGGAGTTCATCTTGACTACTTTATAGACTGTATTGGTAGATTCGTATATTCAAAGTAGGCTAATGCATCATAGTGAGATTATTTTAGATTGTCAGATTATAGGTAAATGTTGTGTAGTAAAAAAGTAAAACATGTAGTGGAGTGGGAATGTAAAACAGCAGAAGATGGTAAATGTGCTACTTGACTACTTTTCAATACTGTATTCAAGCTCTACAGTATGTGGAATAGGTATAGCTGTACACTTCTTGATGTTTCCATCTGTGGTCAGTCCAGCATATGTCTAAACCTGGTCACATGCTTATCCAATCCACATTAAATACATATTTGCAACTGTAGGAGATAATTGTTCTAGATTTCTATCGCACCTGCTTCCATGATAAACACAGGCTTCATATACACGTGACAGCTCATACGATAGTCAATCAGGTCCCGCCCTCCTCGTATAATTGGCTGCTCAACAGACGCTGCAGATTTACATTGGTGGAGAGAGGTGTCGTGTAAACCGAATTCCATTGCTGTTGTCTTAGAAATATGACGTCAAATGAATCCAATGTAGAGGGCGCAGTCAAGCAATTTGGAAAAGTAGTTACCTAAATGTAGAGTCGGCTTTCAAAAAGGCAGAGTATACTGCTTCAGTATTTACTGCCTGACCTTGCTGTTGCTTTTGAGAATCACTATATTTGCACTTTACTCTACGTTCTTTTCGTATGGTTGATCTGTCATAGTTTCCATAGGTTTTCTCGGTTTTACACAGTAACTGACTCAGCCTCAGGGCTGTTTTGGGACCGAGCTGTTGTATAATAAATATGTCACGAATCTCATGACAGCAATATAAGAACATAATAACAATAAGTAAAAGCCCAACACAGCTGGGACTCATTTGTATTTTATTTCCGTTTTTAGGCTTGGAAGTAAGCATATACTTTTACAACTTGTTCTAATGGTTTGGAGGGGTTCATGTGTGTGTGTGTGTGTATGTGAGTGAGTGAGAGAGTGAGAGAGAGAGAGAGAGAGAGAGATGCAGTTCGTCAGATAAGGGGAGGAGTCTAACTGACAAGAGGGAGACTGGCTTTTCTGAGTTTGTCAGCTCCCCTAAAATAGCAGACAGCGTGTAAATGTGAACTGAAATTACATTTATCCAGTGGAGCCACCGATATAGAGTGTCTATATACAGCGACTGACTTGGGAGTAAAGGTGAGTAACGGAAATAGAAACAATGTTGCGGAGTATGGCAGCGGCACTGTAGCTACACAGAGAGAGTAGAAAAGCGCAAGAGGGAGACGTAGAGTGGATTTGGGTCGGAGACATTATATATGTATCTGCTCTGGGGAAGCTATGAAATACAGAATTTGTCACTTAACATCAGTCGTGTTAAATTATCAGTACGGTTTTGGCACCGTAAAATGTCCATCTGTCTGTTTAAAGGGTGTCGTCAGTGGCGCGCGTTGTTGATATCACTCAGTTGCATTGAACTTTTACAGGATTCATCGTAAACAGTAATACGTCAATTATAGGCTTTAGTCTGCTCTTGGTCCTTTAAGGTGCTCTATTCGTGAATTATATCCTTAAAACTCCCGCTGTGTTTGTCGTGGGATGGAAAGTGAGAAATGTTGAGGTGTACTCTGGGCAAAATAATAATCAGTGTGTATATAATAACAGTGTTGAGCCATCACAACAACAGCAGGTTACAGTTCACACAGTGTCACAATGTCGTGGTCATAGAAGTTAAGGTGTGAAATTGAGTTTACAGCATATTGTGTGTTTGCTCATGCAACTCCTAACACATGTAAACTCTTCATCCTCTTTTATGTTAACATACTGTATAGTTAATAAATCTCTTCGAGTTTTGCTTGTGAGCGCTAGGTTTGGTCAGTGGACATTAGTGATACTGAAATCAACACTTGCTTGTTGCAGTAAATGTTCTTCTCATTGTTGTCTGTATATCTACAACAGCCTACAGTACTGGGATCAGTTGAATGACATGATACAAGCATTTTTAAAAAATTTTTTTGGAGTTGCTTGACTTCAAATTTAAACTAATGTTTTAATAAATAAATTTATTTGTTGGGGCTTTAACATATTTTATAGTAAGTTGTGCCTATGTCTGGTAATATACTGTATTTCCTGAATATAAAGTCAACCACCCAGTCATTACTTTATTTTAAAGAGATGACAGGGTTTATAAACAAGCTCAGCTGAAATGTGTTCAGTCAGGTGAATTACTGTGAGATGCTTTACAGAGACTTGGTAGACTTCTCACTCTGTAAGAAGATCACTTGAAGATCCCACTTTAAAGTGACCGGCAAAGGGACAGTGCACATTACATTTCAGATGACATATGTAGTCACTTTGGTAACTGTGAGAGTGGCTTTTTGTTGCCTGGTGGTTCTTTGACTCTCTCAGACTTTTGTGACCTTAACCTCTGGCTACAGGGAGCAGTGGCCAACAGAAAGCTGACCTTCTCAAATGTTTCTGCCTACACTCAAACTTGCTCATTAATATTGTACAGATGGAGTAGTTTTTATTCAGTTGTAGCCGAAAACACCACAAACATCACCTGAAATTGCTCTCTCTCCTCTTCTCTTTTTGCAAGCTAGTACAATAGGAATTTAGTCTTTGGAGAATTTTTTGTTGTCTGATGTGTTGCAACTACTAAAGTGTGTTCTGCATTGCACTGTGGATAAAATCCAGCATATTTTATAGACCAGTAAATTCAAACTGCTGTATGTATCAGAATCCTTCAAAGGAGTGTATTCAGTGGATTGTTTAGTCAAAATAATTACTTTGCATTATCCCCAAAAGTAAATATTGACAAATAGTAAACATTTTACTGCTTACAGTATATCTCTGTTATCAGGTGGAACCGATGACAAATTTTATTGTTAAACAAAGTCCTTGGGGACGTGTTGTTGCCATAATGCATACTTGTAATTTTCACTGTCCGTTTTATGTTATCACTGTTCTGACGGCATGCACATTACCATACCAGCTGGTTGCCAGTGATTTCTAAAGCAAAGCATAAAGCACCCTTTAATCTGCAGTCATTTAGCTTCTGCGCTGCATCAGGCCTAGTCAGTAATGGGCCTTGTTGCTCATGATCCACATCACATGATCTCTTATGTCCAATGTGAGGATGAGGGGTTCTTTCAACACTGCTGAAATGAATCTCAATCTAACAATTTGTGTTGTGTATTAGTCAAAGGAATGAGTATGATGTCTGTGAAGGCACAGTCATTAGACATGTGCTTCTCATGCATGTGGTGAACTATTGCTTTAACCTCAGAGACACCATTACACAAACACACAGGGAGAGGTTTGATAATATGACAATTAGATTTTACTCTGCATCATTTAATCAAGGGCAGGATGATGTATTAGCAAGATAAATGGATGATATTTACCACTGTTTATTAAACATTTTAGCTTTGTTTGTGTGCCCCTGCATGTCTCTGTACATGTGAGTAAGTGCGTGTTAGTGTCTTAGCACAAGTTCTCAGTGGAAAGGGAGAAATGAGAGGTGGTGATGGTGTGAACAGGCAGCTGCAGCATCTTTTGCAGCACTCCTCATCCCACTTCAATCTCAGTGTCTCAGCTTCTCCTTCCAGGAGAAATATGGAGTGTGTGGGCAAGTCGGATCTGCAATTAACGCTGGTTGTCAGGAGGAGAATGCTGGCGTTTACACGATGTCTCTGAATCACTGAGTGAAAGTCTTTCTCCTCCACTCTCCTCCTCCCAGGACATTTTTCCAAGGATGACAAAACACCACAAAGCTGAAAGCCAAGGATTTATTGAATGAAAAAACATAGAAGCTGAACATTCATGGTCCAATAAAGAGGATAGTGTTTCTTTGCTTGTTTGGTAAGCCAAGATATTCTTTTATACTGCAAATTTAGCTTTAACATTACAGCTTTTGTGGGTATTGCAATTGTTTTACAATTATGTAACAATTTTTATTCTTTGTGAATTTGTTTATTTGCTTCATTTAATGATGTGTTTGCAGCATTGAAGGCATCTGTACAGGTTGTTATCTTTGTACTGTACATTTGACAAGTGAGCTTTTAGTGCAGTTGAGTTTTTCTGCCAGAGAGTTAGAACATATTCAGTACAGTTTTTGGTTGGTTGGGTTGCTGCAACTTGATGATAATAAGGTATTCACAGACAAAATTAACTACATTCTTTGAGGTTTAAGATGCTTTTTCTTCTAAATTAATAATCCCTCCTTTTCGCTTTGTACAGTTAATTTTTGCTCTAAGTGTTGGTGCTATGTCGTGCTTGAAATAGTGTTTTTTTTTTTTTTTTAAAGATAACTCAAAAACAAAACAAAGCATCGGTGGCAAGATAATAATCCTGGTGTCATGGTGTAACTATTCAGCTTTCTCTTTGACTAACAAAAGCATCTTATTAACGTGAGTCATTGTTTATCGGAGCTCCATCATCAGTATAGAGATTCCAGCGCTCTCCTGTGAGACCTGGAGGTTGGATGCAGAATCTTGAGCCTGGCAGATAATGTTTCAGACTGCAGTTAACTGTAGACTGTCCTCTGTACACTAAAAAGAAAAGACTTGTGCATTTTGTTTGTTTGTTTTTTGTAAACAAATTCATGTATTCATGCATGAAATAGGGAATTTTTGATTAATCTCCCCTGTTGTACAGCAAACCAATAATTTGATATTAACTATAAATTAAGAGCAGACAAATGTTGTTAGTGTGATTTCAAGTCAAGAGACAATGATTTTAATTCATATTGATTTTCCTTCTTCTTTTTCTTTCTGAATCTGGTCAGTGGTAAATGGGTCACTCATGTGCTTGCAAATACCCAAAGTGTGGGCATCAAAGTGGCTTTTGGTTATCACTGGTATGACCTTCTAGTTTCAGTTCCTTCTGCGTGTGGTGCTTACATGTACTTCTTATATTAATCAGGACATTCATATGCTGTGAATGTTGGTCAGTGGTCCAGGCATGAATAAGTACCGCATGCCAGACAGAATCAACTTGTTCTTTACTAATGACCATTTTTCATGGTGTGCTTGATTCAAAGTTAAAGGAATTTAAAAAAAAATGTAATTTGCAGACATCACAAAGTCAAATAATAGAATTGGTCAGAAACTCTTTAAGCTCAGAGGGTGAAGGTATAATTCGCCGAGGTACGGTTTGTATAGCCAGACAGCTAGCAGTGACCTTTCAACACTCCTGCCCTTGACTGGGACCTCTGGTGGTAAGCTATGGCACCAGATTGATGACTTTAGTTTTTGGCACTGAAAAATAAAGCTTGGCATTGAAAACAAACCATAACTGTAAAAAAAAAACAAAAAACAAAACTGTAACTGAAAAAGCAAACACTGGCATTGAAGCATTTGTAATGGGAAAAAAAATTTGGCATTAAAAAAGTATTAATACTGGAAAAATTACAGTCTTCTAATTTTTTGTTAACACACAGCTTTTTCAATGCCAAAGTTTTTTGCTGCGACAATCTTGTCGATGTTAGTTTTTCAGTGCCAGTTTTTTCTTTCAGTTTTAGTGTGGAGGGGAGGGTTTTGAGGGCAGGGGCTAAGCAGAGTGTGATTTGCATACTTGGTTGAGATCCATGAGGAGAGGACAACCCTCTCCCCTGAGCAGCTGTCCGTATCTAGGCTTCTGTCTGCCGAGCATGGCCACATAGTTACTGCGGTGGCTTCCCCGAATTCAGCTGGAGCTCTCAGATTGCTGTGTATTTCTCTCTACCATGTCTTTGCTCAACAGAACTGAGCTACGTAAAGCTCACTTCTAACTAATGTTATGCTGGTGTGGCAGAGGTCTGCTGCAGCAAGTGCCAATGTTAGCTACACTTAGGCTATAGCTAGTATAGCTGTAACTAATATCTGAAATGCATGGCCGTGTATCAGAGACTTTCTGTGGGATTTTTTGGGACTGCCACACAGTAATGTTATATGTGGAATGGGGCTAATGAATTGTAGGCCTGCCTGGAGTGGAAATATGCCAGTAGAATGAAAGAGATGGTCTGAGAGCTACTGGTGAACTCAGGGAAGCCGTACGATGCTGAAGCTGACTTCTGATTTGACAGTTAAGGGAGACATTTTACAATACAGAGAGACATTTTCTTGTTTTTTACACCTCTGAATGTTGTGAAAGGGTTTTAGACATTCTAGAAAAAACTTTGGCATTGAAAAAGACACGTTACCAAAAAACGTCACCAC